AAAAAAAAAAAAAAAAAAAAAAAAGGCAAGAAAGAAAGGAAGGAAGGAAGAAAGACAAACAATGAGTTTGGTTGACGTAAAGATAGTGTCAAATGTTGACATTCCAAAAATCTCACTTGGAGTTTCCCCATGACTTGTACTAATAGTTTAAAGTTTATTTTGGTACTATTTCAAAGAATGCTATTCATTTTTTAAATGTGCATTGGTGTTTTGTGTGCATGTATGTCTGTGTGAGGTAGTCAGATCCCCTGGAACTGGAGTTACAGACAGTTGTGAGCCACCATGTGAGTGCTGGGAATTGAACCTGGTCCTATGGAAGAGCAGACAGTGCTCTTTACTGCTGAGCCATCTCTGCAGCCTGACAGAATGTTTTCTTCCTTCTTTCCTTCCTTCCTTCCTTCCTTCCTTCCTTCCTTCCTTCCTTCCTTCCTTCCTCCCTTCCTTCCTTCCTTCCTCCCTTCCTTCTTTTCTTCCTTCCTTTTTTCTTTTTGTTTTTTGAGACAGGGTTTCTCTGTGTAGTCCTGTCTGTCCCGGAATTCCATCTGTAGACCAGGCTAGCCTTGAACTCAGAGACCCACCTTCCTCTGTCTCCACCTGGTACTAAAGGTATGTACCACAATGATCTGGCTCAAGAATGTTATTTCTTTTTTGTTTGTTTGTTAGTTTATTTCTGCTTTTCCAGACATGGTTTATCTGTGTAGTCTTGGCTGGCCTGGAATCGCTTTGTAGACCAAGTTGGCCTCGAACTCATAGAGATCTGTCTGCTCTGCCTCTCAAGAGGATCATGGGTGTGTGACACCATGCCTGGATTAGAAATGTTATTTCTTAAGGCTCAAAAATTTTAAGAGAGAAATTGTTAGAGTGCCAATCTTATGGGAGTTTAAATAAGACAGTTGAATAAGACAGATTAAATTTTCACTGCGTACACTGTAAGAGTGATTAGTTGGTATGCTAGGACCCCCAGGCTCAAGAAGTACCTTCTCCCTTGGATGGAACACAGACTCCCATCAGAGTAAGCTGCACAGTAGCCTCAATGCAGGGAAATAAGAATTGCCAGAGTCTGTTGCTCCTGTTCCCAGCTGTGCAGGCTGGACCAGTGAAACCTCCTCCTTATCTACAGGGAAGATGAATTGCTCCTCCTGTCTCAGATGACAGGGGGATAGATTCTCTTTCCCAGTGGAAGGTCTTGGAGTCTGCACCCACATTCTGAATAACTTGAGCAATGGAGAGGCAAATAGCAATTACTCTTCACTTAGTGTCTCCCAAACTGACATACGATGATGCTGTGCACCGAGACCTTGTACCTATGCCCACAGACAAGTGTGGGACCTGCAGCTAGACCGTGCCTTTATCCTGGTCTTCAGTTCTTCTGCTCTTAGCAAAGCTAAGCTCAAGGCCAAGAGGTCAATGCCTGTTCTCGAGGAATCCCCAGTTGAGTTCCGCTTAAGCACTGATCTACCAAAGGTCCAGTGAGCACAGCAGACTGAACTGTGGGCACTCATTTAAACACTGAGTCCAGTGTCACCCCCTGTGGCCACCACACCTGGGTAAAGGGACCAGCACTGCCTGAGGATGAAGAGATGTGGATGAAAAAACTTCAGCAGCCCCTCTGTGTCACCTTCCAGGGGATTCAAAAGGGACTTTTGGAGACAGGGATAATAGTGACCCTGTCTCTCCTTTGGGCTCATGTTACTGTCGACTCTGGTGCTTCCCATAGGGCTAGCCACCACAGGCGTCATGACACACAGCTGTAATCCCACTGCTTGGTAGAATGAGACAGGAAGATTGAAAGTACAGGCAAAACGGGACTACTTAGGGGACCCTGTCTTAAAAATATAGTTGAGTGAATACATATGAAAAATGACAATACTGAGGTTTATCAGCCTAAAGATTGGGCTCAGTCTGCAGCATGAAATATTAATTGTGATTTAAAAATTTCTTGTTAAACTCTGGGGTGAACTGTGAGAGAGAATAGTGCTCACATCTAAAGGTGTGGGGGGGGGTGCAGTAGATGACTGAGCAGCTCCCAAAAGCACTTTCTCAAAAGACTGGGTACCAAAAGCAAGTTACCAAGCAGGTAGGCTTGATGATCTTCTTAACAAAGGGCCTAAAGTTCGTTCTCCCAAAGCTCGCAGCACAGAGTGCACTCAGGTACCCAGCAGCCTTGACACTGGGCTTTACATTACGGCTTCTACCTTTTATTAGCTGTGTCACCTTGGGAAAGTGACTCATCCTCTCTGTGTCTCAGTTCCTTTGTCTGTAGAATGGAGGCAATAACAGCATGAACCTTCTGATACGATCTCTAGGATTAAGGAAAAACACACACCCGGCCCCTTTTAGAAGTGTCTGTAAAGTACAGATTTCGAAGTGGCTGATGTTCTCATCACTTT